AGGGGAGATTCCCCTTTATGTTTTGTGTTATTGAACATTCCAATGATATGATAGCATTTTAGCCCAAGACCAAGAGAATCAACATCAAAACAATGCGTGCCATTATACGAGGGTTGAGCCAACACTGGAAACAGGGAACAAATTAGCTTGAGCGAGCCCTAGTCATGTGTTTAGTAAAAGGCCAGTTTGAGCAATACATTTTAATTTGTAGGCGTCTATTGTTCATTTCTCATCTTGAATAAGTTAAAAACATAATACAGAGCAATCGAATTTGGCAGTTATCAATTTATTTACTGTTCTGAATGAAAAACCCACTGTCTACCACCTGCCCAGCACCAAAAAGCAGACAAAGTTAGAGACTGGCTGGTGAACATAGGGGGGCATTTTGCAGCTAAAGCGCAAGATATTTCCCTCAGGAGTTGGTAAAGATCAAAACGAGGGCTAAAGAAGAGATGACTCACAATAATCAGGTGGACACGAACTCCACATGAAGTTGCTCCATAACTATGTAAATATGCTTGATGTGTTTTGCCAATTCAACTTTGTATTTTCAGCATGTTCTGCTACCACCATGTGGCCAAAAATAAATAAATAAATAAATAAATAAATAAATAAATAAATGAAAATTTAAGCAACTTTAAGTAATTGAAGATTGTGGGAAGGCACATTCATAACGCAATATGCAAAACGAAAAATGCAGTATCTGGGATGAGGATCAAGGAGCTGCCGAAATGAGCAATATGTCAGTAACACTTCAGTGAATGATGTGAGAGAATGGACATTTACAAATTTTCTCTCCCTCTGTTCCAGAAATCCTCTTGGTTCGGGTGCAGCAGGACTGTGCTATGTTTCTCCCTGTGGTGGTTTTGCTGGTGCTCTTGTTGCTCTCTGGACCAAGGTCCTCTCTCCAGGGAGACACTCAGGAAATCGGGAACAGTGATGACATACTTGAAAGAGAGTTTATCTATGCACCAAACCGGCAAAAACGTGCTGTGGTCGACCACAGTGCTGTCCAAACAGACAAATGTTCCTATACCTTTATTGTCCCCCAGCAGAAAAACAACGGGGCAATCTGTGTGAACTCCAAGGAGCCTGATGCCCTGCTGGAAAATCGGGTCAATAAGCAGGAGCTGGAGCTGCTCAACAGTGAGCTGCAGAAGCAGCGACGGCAGATCGAAGCACTGCAGCAGTTGGTAGAAGTGGATGGTGGTGTGGTCAATGAAGTCAAGCTACTGCGCAAAGAGAGCCGCAACATGAACTCCAGAGTGACACAGCTCTACATGCAGCTACTGCATGAGATTATTCGCAAACGAGACAACGCTCTAGAAGTGTCGCAGCTGGAGACCCGCGTGCTCAACCACACAAACGAGATGGGGAGGCTCGCTGGACGCTACCGCGACCTGGAACATAAGTACCAGCATCTGTCAGCCCTCGCAAGCAACCAGAGCGCTCTCCTGGTGCAGCTGGAGGAGCACTGCAAGCGGGGAGGATACTCGTTCGGTGTGGTGCAGGAGAGGAGCCGTCCTGTCCGTCCACAACCTCCTGTGATCCCCCAGCCCACTCTGCAGAGGCCTGCACTGTCTCCTGGAGGCTACAGACCCTACCATCCACCCACCTACACCCGCCACACCAACAACCCCATGACCAACGAGATACAGAATGACCAGAATGCCAAAGCATTACCACCTCCACTGCCCACAATGCCAAGTGCCACATACAGCTTCACAAATGAGCCCTCTGGTAAGTGGACGACCATACTGACACTTTCATATCTCCCTCTGAGGTCTATTATTGTAATGGACACAAGCCACATATTGTCCAGTACATCACAAAGCTGGGTGAAAGACCTCACTGAGAACATGCACAGACCAGATCCCAGGGGCCTTTTGATAGATTGCTGAAGCTGCAACTGTCAAAGGAATTCCATAGTGCCTGTGGTTGTCAGTGAGATACATATCTTGATGCACTGCCAATGATCCAATACAAGATACATATAAAGGAACTACCAATGGGATATGATACAGTCCTCCCGTATTGGGTTTTAGTGCAATTCAACATGGTTTCATTCAACGCAATATGATGCAAAAGAATATGATCCTATGCAATTCATTATAGTATAGATGGTATAAATCAAAATATAAATTGTCACATTTAAAAAAAAAAAAAAAGGCATAAGACCTATAATAATAATTTATATATAAATTACACCCCCAAATTGTATCCGATGCACACTTTTTTTTTTAATCAAGGCAATCGCATCTTCAGCTTTAATGCTGGTGCACTGATGCAAAACGGTGAATCTTACCATCCATACTGTCAAGTGTTAGTTTACAAAAATGTAACCTCATATCTGACAGATTTAGGTTCACTGATGTTATATTCATATCAGAATTAAAGCTGCACAGTTAATTGAAACATTATCGAAATTGCAATATGGCTAAGTGCAATATCCAAATTGCAAGAAGCTGCGATTTGTTGATAAAGGTGAAATGTGTGACAAACAGCATTATAATGAAGTACTGCAGTGCTGCAGAGATGCCTGGCCTACAAACCTTGTTCTCCAGATAAAAGAAAATGTTTGTTTGGAAGACCCCAACAAATGTCACAGCAGCAGGATTTAAATTTGGGGGGGGAAACCAACTCATGCAGGTTTGGTGTGACCAGAGACACGACCCCAGTGGATGGACAGATTTTGCTTCCATGTAACCTTATCCATGCAACAAGCTAATATGCAATAATATTGGACTAAAACTGGACTGGACTTGAAAAACAAACAAAAACTTTTAGAAAACTCATTCAAAAAGCCAACTGAATAAGTTGCTAGTTGTCCAGGCTTTTCCAGCTATGAAATATATGCTGATTTTTAGTATCAGAAAAGATGTTAACCCAGCAGTCTCTGGTTTCTTCATATGCACATACTTTGCCCCCTCTAGTGTTCTTACGAACGCACACGCACACACACGCTGCAAAACAACACCTTCAGACAGTAACCTCTGTACATAATGGTATGATGAGATTTTAAGTTAAATATGTTGTCTGTGTTTCCATGTTATGTCTTCTGCGGTTACCAAGAAATCCAGTGCAGTTTTGCTCACAGCAGTATTTACTGCTGCCAGCGTCAGAGACTGGAAAGCATTTGTCATATTTGGCCTGCATAACACATGGTCAACAGTGACTTCACTTTTCCAGAGTCATCTGTCCATATGTTTTAATATTCTATTTGATGTTGCATTGTCTGTTACTTGCACAGGTTGTTAGAATTATAACAATTATGATAGCATGTTGCTGAAATGAATGCCAGTCATGAAAGGCTTTGTAGATCAATACAAGGTATACTTTGTGTATACTTTGCTTTGTGAGTCAGCATTCATTCTCTCCTGCAGGTCCTTTTAAAGACTGTCTAGGGGCTCTGGAGGGTGGATACACCACCAGTGGCATGTACCTTCTGAAACCAGACAATGGCAACCGACTCATGCAGGTTTGGTGTGACCAGAGACACGACCCCGGTGGATGGACTGTCATACAGAGACGTCAGGACGGCTCCGTCAACTTCTTCCGGAACTGGGAGACGTACAAGGTAATGAGGAGGATTTGACCTTAGGATTATAGGGTTCTACTTGCCTTCTAGAAAGTTCTGAGATATTGAGCTGCAAAGATGTCAGTATCCAGTGCTAGTTCTGGGCTGGTGCTAGTGCTGGTTCAGAGTTTTAAGAAGTTCAATTTGAGAGCCTTCTAAAAACTGCTTTGCTTTTCCACGGGCTAGAGAGCCACGTCATTACATCACTGTTTTTGACGTTAGCTATTGTTACCAAGGCTACACTAGCGGGCTAGATAGCAAGCTGTTGGTTCCTTACATTAATTTTACTAACCTTGAACATAAGATTAAATTTACGAACAAAGTTACAAATGAAACATTGATGTGATAAATTAGTAGCTATGCTTGCTTGGGTAATGTTAGCTGACCAACAACTAGCTAGCTCATGGTTAAATCCATAACATTTGTGTGAGAAATCAGTAGCTCACTAAACAGCTAATAAATACATAGCTAGCTGGCCCCCAGCCCCTTTAGTAAGTGGTTCTTGATTCTTGATTTTCCAGGGCAGTTTGGCTGTCAAAAGAACTGGTTTGAGATTAGGCACTGGCTCCAATCAAGCCCTCAAACTGCCTTAGTAGAAAAGGGGTATGAGACAGTATGTAGGAACAGTGGTTCTTTGAGCTAAATGCTAGTATCATATTCAATTCAATTTTATTTGTATAACGCCAATTCATAACAGAAGTTATCTCAGGACACTTTTCAAATAGAGCAGGTCTAGACCGAACTCCTTATAACATTTACAGAGACCCAACAGTACCTACCACCATGAGCAAGCCACTTTTGGCGACGGGGGCAAGGAAAACTGCTGTTAAAAGGCAGAAAACCTAGGACAGGACTCCGGCTTCTAGCGTGGGTGTTCGTCTGCCTTGACCAGGGTTTGGGGGAAAGAGAGAAAAGAGAGAGAAAAGAGAGAGAGGGGTACAACAACAGTAGCAACAACTACATCATATCAGTGTGTTCCATGATGTTCATCATGGTTTAGCGTGTTAACATGCTAATTTGTTGATTATAACTAAACACAAAGCATAGCTGAAGCTGATGTCATTAGTTTACCAAGAGTTTAATAACAATTTGAGTTTGAGATTCAAACCCTGCTGCAGCAGGGACTCAGCCTTTGTACACAGGGCGCTACCAGGAGAACTATCCAGGCTCCCGTACCGCAGGCATTTGATCTAACATCCTAAGGGTAATTTTGAAACATGATAGAAAGCCCATATAGGATATAATACAACTATTTTGACAGGTTGAGTAGTACTTCCAAATGATCTCCGATATGACACACACTCAAAAACACTAATGAAGCATACTAAAAGAAACTATTTTCGATACTTACACCACTAAAGATATACTCCCTGATTTTGTTATTGACTAATATTCCCCCTAAATTAATTCTGAACTAGCAGAACAACGAGAAGGGGAAACACAGACATTACATCAGTTATGACATAGTTTCCTGGACATGGAGTAAAATAAGTTAATGGTCATGTATTTGGAAAACAAGTCTACAGTCTAAGACTGAGGTTAAGGTCCATGGAGTCTGTCCAGGACTGTTCTATCTTTGACAACCTGATTATACAACCTAACCAGGCATCTGTGGTACATACTGTATGCTGACAAAATGCTGTTTTACAATCAAATATGCTTCTGGGTGACTCCCCTATTTCTTTCCCTAATGTTGGGATGGATTTTTATCAAATCCTGACATAAGGATATAGTTTATACATCCACTTATTGTATAAGTGGCAGGTCATTTACCACAGACTGGAACTAATGTGATAGTTGTTTTCTGCTATTCTTTAGATTTAGCTTGTTAGATGAATTCAAATACTAATGAGATCTACACCCTGTTGACACCAGCCAAATACTGAAGATTTCATTGATACTAGCACCATTCTGCAATCTGTCTGACCAATTCCTGAGCTATTTTCTATGTGGGTAAAAAAGTTTGCCCTACATAGGTTTTCAGTGACAGCGACAGACAACTGTTTATTATCTCTGAATATGAACATAGTAAAAACAGAGCAGAAAGAAGTTTGTCATCTAAAATGGATGAAGTGAAAATATTTGTACAGCATTTGTCGTCATTTAGGTTTTAGTCAAAGAAAAAAAAAAAAATCTGCCTATGTGGTGCTAATGTTATTTTAACAAAACATATTTACCCTTTATGACGGACATGGCATGGAATTTAAGCCCATGTTTTGTAGAATGATGTCCGACATATTATAAGTGTTTCCACCCTTAAATGAAATAATCCTTTTACAGACATTACAACAAGCTGTTGTCATCTTTAATTGTAAAATGTGGTCATGCATGTCGTAATGCGCAACTGTCAGAAAAACGTGCCAGCATCGATAAAAGACATTGATAAGCTTGAGGCATGCGATTCCGATGGATTGGACAATTTGGAACCGGTTCTCAATTCCTAACCCTAGTCAGTAGCAGATTAGTAACAGCTACAGTCTTCCATCAGTGCCACACTTAATGCATTCAGCCACAGAAAGTTTTTAAGAGCTCACAGCCCAAACAACAGATCTACGTACTTACATGTATATGCGTTTAGTTGGAAGAAAATAGACTTGAAGCATAAAAAAGAGCTTTGGGTCGCAGACTCAAATGTATCTGATTGTTAGATCTGTCAGACTGATGAAGTCCTGTGTAGACAGCCTTTCAGGGGTTTAGTGGTCACCTTGTTGCATAAATAGGATTCATTAGACAAAAAGCGGAGACATGACATTGGTATTTTTGTGTTTATATTAGAAGCTAAATTGGTATCTGCTTCTGCAAAACCACTGCTATCAAAATGTGGTAATCCTTGTCATTTAGATAAAGCATTGAGCAACTACAGTTCCCATGAGGTTTTAGGTTGAGGTTAAGAGTCATTTAAGGTAGTTTTACAATACAGAAGTTACAATATGACAGTAGCATGGTGTTTACTTAAAAAAAAAAAAAAAAATCCCTCAGAAACTTATATCTGTGATTAAATAATAAACTAAATGTATCTTCCACAGCTGAAATCTATCTTTAACAAAACAAACTGTTTAGGCAAGCCATCCGATTGTGTAATATGTGAGTAATCGAAAGAAAAACTCAACAAAATCAAATCTATGAGATCACAAAAGCAGAGCTAAAATCAATTCAAATGAACTAAACATGCTCTGAGCGTAGCAGCCAGTGCAGTGATCCAAGGACTTCATAATCATGCACTGTTTTCCAGTAACTACCAGTGGAACCTTACATTACGTAAATATGGGTGCACATGTGTGAAATATTTAGTTACCAAAGATTAAAATTCTGTGGCCTAAAGTGAGGACATCCCAATCTGCATAATCTTCCCAGTACTTTAAACTCAAGACCAAAGAGCAAGGGAGTACTTCCAAGTTGTCCCCCAACACAGTCATTCCCCAACCCACCCTCAATGAGTCAACAAGGCACTTTAAGCCAATTACACGCTCATATTTGGCAGGGATGAGGAGTCGCTCCTGATTGAATCCATGTGTGATGTAATTGAAGCCAGGGATTCAGACACACAGTGAGCTCTGCTCTAGAGGATCTTAAACACCTCCTGCCATTATGCCACTGCTTTTGGCATCTTGCTCTGACATCATACCAGTCTTTCAAAGATGCTTAGAAAACATGGGTGGTTTGTTGCTGGAAGACCACAACTGATTCCAACAGGAGGAAAAAACAGCTTCTTTATTGTAAATTTCAAAATAATCAAATTGCTGTGGCATTTCTTATTAAATCATGTGTTAGGAACAGTAGGAATGGATTATTTCTGACTAACTCAATGTATTCTCCTCTTACAGCAAGGGTTTGGAAACATTGATGGTGAATACTGGTTAGGACTAGAGAACATCTACTGGCTGACCAACCAGGGCAACTACAAGCTGCTGGTGACCCTGGAAGACTGGACCGGACGCAAGATCTTCGCAGAGTATGCTAGCTTTCGTGTCGAATCTGAGGCCGACTTCTACAGGCTTCGGGTGGGGCGATACAATGGCAACGCCGGAGACTCTCTTACCTGGCACAACAGCAAGCAGTTTACCACACTGGACAGAGACCATGATGTCTACACGGGTGAGTGTAATGCAATGCAAGAGAAGGTTCTCATAACTGTTGGTGGGCTTTGCAAAACCTGCAAATCTTTTGGAATCTGATTCAAGTCTCTTACTGCATAGGCCACTCCTCTTATTGAATGAGGTCGAGTGTATCATAACTGGCTTTATTCAGGTTTTAGTTATGTACCCACAATGACGACTTGATAAGGACACTGCTCTCTGACAGGTGTGAAGGTGTGCCTGCCTCTCACTCTGTCCTGGGATAGGTTCCAGCTATCTGCTGGACAAATTACAGTGCTACCAGGCCACTCAGCGTCCTTTGAGGAAGTACTGGCAGCTAGATAGGTGTGGCTAGGTGTGACGCAGCAAAAACACTGTTCATTGAATAACAATGGCGGCAGCTAAAGAGGTTAGCATAGACTCTGCTAGCATCAGTTCAACAGAACTAGAGTACTGTTTCATTGAAATAATAAGCAGAAAGGCGGTAAAGGATTTTCTTGGAAAAGATGTTTTCACTATTCTTCTGACTGGCTTCTAGAAGAATTTGACTATGTTAAATGGAGTATTTTTTGAAAGTGTCTGTCGTTTTCCATACAGTTTCCAATGAAGTTAGAGAGCTTTACTGTTAATCACAAAATAAACACATACAAAAATGCCAATCAAGTACGAATTTGATTTTTTTTAAAAGCAGGGTAATCCATTGTTAGGATCAGTCCTAACCCGTGCCCTCAACCAGCAGAAGACCAGATTGCTGGTATACCTCTTGGTCTGATTTGATTCCTTGTGTCTTCAGGTAACTGTGCACACTACCAGAAGGGAGGATGGTGGTACAACGCCTGTGCTCATTCCAACCTGAACGGTGTGTGGTACCGTGGTGGGCATTACCGCAGCCGTTACCAGGACGGCGTCTACTGGGCCGAGTTCAGAGGAGGTGCTTATTCTCTGAAGAAAGTGACCATGATGATAAGACCCAGTGCAAACACCTTCCATTAACACCTCAGTCATTCAAAACTGATTTTAGTAAACGAACATTTCCACCAAAGGGATTACATTTATCAGAAAAACAGGCATCCTTGATTTGAACTTTGTTTGTGGCTTTACTGTATATTCATAATGTAGCTTCAAATGGAAAGCCTCACGATAGAATCCAAGCAGAATCTTTTAATTTTATTCATCCTACAGGTTTAGGTTTTACTTATCTTGTTTGGGCTCATAAAGTTGCATTGCACACAAATCAATAAAAGCACACACAAACTTACATTAAGAGTCTGAAATATCTTATCTGTGTGGGCTTCTGTTGATTTTGTTGTCATCAGAAACCTAAATGAATGCAACACAATACAGAATACATTTATAATATGATTTCTTTGTTATGTAGAGAATAATTAATTATTCATTAATTAATTATGTATTAAAGCAGAATAGTAACAAAGGAATTAAGGTATCCTGAGATCAAAACTGACTGCTAGCAACAAACTGGTACTTTAGACTATTATTGGTGCATATATTACATATATTATGTATGTACAACATATATTGGGATAAATTCTACAGGAGAGAAATCTGGTTATTTATTTTGATACAATTTTCTAGAAGGTTTCAGTAAATCATTTTCCAGGGTAATTTACTTTGTAAGTATTTTGCTTCATAATTTCATCTTTGAATTTTGACAATAGCACATAAAACAACGGATTGAAGTAATCTAGTCACTTAGACTGTCAACAAAGTAGTTTAACAGGTCATCTTTTCTTGAATCTAAACAGGACTGGACTATACAGCTACATGCATCACTGAAAACATTGCATAATTCTTGAACTGAACTGCATATGTAGATTGTAAAGATTCTATAATGCTTGATAAGTCTGATAAATCTATAGTGAGACAAGTGAGATATGAAGTTGCAAGAAAAACTCTTTGTTTCTACTAATGGTGCACAAACAGCTTGTTCAGGTTGATCTCCCAGCACTTCATCCACATCATCCGTTGATGGGACCACTGTTAAATTATCTTGAATTTGAACTTCTGAAGAATGATTTTAACATTTTGGTACTGAAAATTCTGATACTTATATTTTATACCACAACTCACCTCACTTTAACCATGTTATGTTCAGAAAGGTATCTAAACTACGCACAAAAAGTAAGGAAATTTGTGTTTGGTAGACTATTTCTTTGTTGTAACAATGCTTCTTATACCATCTTAAAAAAAAATCTTATACCATTGGAAAACCTGTTTGGTTCCATTTTAAATGGTGCCACATTAGTAAGGAACATGCATTTGTGGGATGAGCAGCAGAGCTGAGTATGTGGGTTGCACCCATGAAACATTTGCCAATGCCAAACAGCTTTTCTTTTATGTTGACTCTTGTTTGGTGTTGATTGGATGATTGAAGTTTGAAGAAACAAGACATATTGGCAATTTAACAATTTATTCATTTCACAAACAGGAGCCTCAGTAGCATGTGGAAGAACCATACACAGCCTGGCACCATCTCCTCATGCTGGTCACACACTGCTGTGGGATGGCATCCCATTCTTCAACCAGCATTTGTCGCAAGTCAGCCAACGTGGTTGTGTTGGTCACTCTGGCACGAACAGCACGCCCAAGCTGATCCCACAAGTGTTCAATGGGGTTGAGGTCAGGACTGCTGGCACTCCCAAATTCTGGATGTAGTCTCTGATAAACCCCGCCCTGTGGGGGCGAGCGTTGCTTGGAGGATAGAGTTTGGCCCCAGACTGTGAAGATATGGGATTGCCACTGCCACTGGTTGCAGAATTTCATCTCTATATCTCTCTGCATTGAGATTGCCTCCAATGATGACAAGCCTCGTTTATTGGTACCAGAAGCTCAAATTAAATGTCTATAGCAACAGCAAAGAAGAGCTGTTTGGCATTGGCAGAGAATATTTGGCAAATCTTTCATGGGTGCAACCCACATACTGAGCTTACTGATCCTTACAAATGTGGCATTTTGATAGGGAAATAAACAGGCTTCCCAATGGTATAAGATGTATTGCCAAGAAGCACTGTTACAATAAAGAAATAATCTACCAAACACAAATTTTCTTACTTTTTGTGCGTAATTTGTTTCAAACAGGTAACAAGATCCAACATCTAATATGGACATAGCAAATTAGATCTAAGCCTTTAAATGTAGACAGAATTTACACTGAACAAATACGATTTTGTTGTAGGTAAAAGCAGCTCAGTACACTCAGTAAACAGAAACCAAAAGGTACAACTCAGTTATTCCCTCTACCCACCAAAGGTCTCCTGGTCTGTTGAAAAGATCAGTCACTGTATTGGTGTGCAGATACAGTATGTACCAGGTACTCTGTGTATATATATGCTGTTTTAGAAAGATTATTTTTATAGTCTGTATGTTATCGGTCTTTCAATAAACTATGTACAGCCCTGCTTGTGTTTCCAGAATCTAATTTCATTTAGCTCCAAGCTTTCCTGATTAATTACCCACTAAACGCTTAAAGTTATGCATAATTTATGGAAGGCCTGGCCAACCCACGGCTCCCGAGCCGCATGCGGCTC